CCGATGGCCGAACAGGAAGAACACCACCACCCTCATCGAACAAAGGCCTCGGCTAATATCAAATCGGCTAGTGATGGATCTGTATCACAAGTGAATGTTAATGTATCCGATTTAGATGGCATATTTAATACTAGTGGTAATCCACCAAGTACAACAACAATTAGTACAATTGCTGTACAAGCTGGTGAATCTAGAATTGTTTTGGCTATTCTTCGAGTATGTACTTTTATGTGTGTTTCATATAATTAGAAAAAAATTTTATTTCAATTAAATCAAAAAAATATATATATAGAGTTCAGATATTGTTCGAGTACGTATACAACAAATGGAACCTGATTTAATGGATATTGGTTCAAATCTTGGTGATACAATTCAATATCAAACTGTTCATGAAGAATTAATTAGTAAACTAAGAGTAAAAAACTTTGATAATTTTATTTTTGTTTCTGTTTTTTTTTTTAAATCATATTTATTGTCAATATTATTTAGGCTAAACAAGATCAAATAACAGAATTGTTGACGCGAGCAGATGATCTTGTCATTCAACAAAGATCTTATAATGAAGTCTATGAAGCTATGGCACGAAGTTTAGGTGAAGCATGGAAAGAACTTAATTTACAACTTGAAGGTCGAAGAAATTTATTAAATCAAGCTATACGTTATCATACAATGGCTGCTCGAGTTTGTTATTTGTTTTGTTCATTAAAAAACAAAAAAAAAACAAAACCTTTCCATTTTTTTTGTAATTCTTTAGTTTAATGATCGAGTTCAAGAAGCTCGTTCATGGTTTAATTCATTAGAACATGCAAATTTTGATAATAAATCATTAAATATATTATTTGACGAATATGATTTATATCGAAAAGAAATTTTAGAAGTATCATTAGATACATTAAACGAAGGACAATTATTACTTGAACATATTAAAAATTTAGGTGTATTAATTGAATCAATAAATCAACATTCAACTATTGCTGTATGTTATGGAATTGAACATTTACTTGGTATACATCAAGATGAACGACGTCAATTTGAAGATGAATGGGAAAGAAATCGAAAAATATTACATGAATATATACAAATGTCTGAAATAAAATATGATATTGATCAAGTATATAAATATAAATATAAATAAAATAGAATAGAATTTTCTTTTTTTGTTTTTTTAGATATTCGATTGGTTAGAAAAACAAGGTCAAATTCATTTAGAAAATACTGATCTTGGACAATCATTAGATGATATTGAACGATTACAAAATATTCATAAAGATATTGAAATTGAATCACAAGTAATTTAATTGAAAAATTTTTTTTTTGTTTAACTAAATCTCTTTGTTTTTTTTGCTTAGGTTATACATGATCAAGTTCTACGTTGTATGCGTGCTGTTGATACATGGGTACATACGGGTTTAATACGAGCTGATCGTTTACATGCACATGCTCATACACTTTTAGTTCTATGGGAAAAATATGTACTTAAACTTGATATTCGTCGTCGATTATTAAGATTAGCACATCAATTTTATACAAATTCAATAAATGCATTATCAATACTTGATTCACTTGATAAACATCTTTCAACAATATCATTCGATCATTTACTTTCCAGTGAAGATCTTATACGTGAATGTAATCATATCAATGATGAATTAATTCAATCAACAGAAATTCCACTTCGTCAGGGACATATTTTATTAGAAAAAATTCAAACAAATAATTATAATTCAAAAATATTCTATGAACGTGTTTGTGATTTAGAAAAATGTATTGAAAATATACGAAATAAATTACGAAATGAATATGATAAATTAGATCGACAAGGATCATCATTATATCAAACATTTGATAATGAATGTACAACAATGCAATCATGGTTATTTAATGTAGTTGAACATTTTCTTAATGCAAATAAATATTTAATTGATCTAAATAATCCAATTGATATAACAAAACAAACAAATGATTTTTTAGAATCTCATCAACAAATTATTGAACGTGATCTCAAGGTAGGACTAGATTATTTATTCTATGAAACCTATTATCAACGATAGATCAACAGTTGTTAATGTGTACATTTCTATCTATCATTGTCTATCTATAGAAAGACAAAACATGTAATGTCAATGATAATGACACTATTGATTGTATATTACTATTCTAGATTATTTTCATGGTTCAAGTATTTTAACCTCGCATTAATATGTCCTATGAATATTCTGAGAACAAGAATAAAAGTTTTTTTTGTATGAATGAGATTTTCCTCTGTGGTTTTTTCTTCTTTCTGTTAAGTTTAGAATTAACAAAGCTTTTATATGTTTATATTTATGTTTGTGAATCATAGGGTTAGATCATATAATTAAGTTAACATATATGCTTGATGTCTAGTGCTTTTGCGTAATATATCAACAAGCTTTCATCATCCATTTTGTATAATTATTCTTTAGTCGTAAAACATTATTATTGTTTTCTTTTATGTATAGTACCAGATTATTGTAATTTGTATTAATTAGAAATATATAAAATCATCTTCTTACGATTCGATAATATTTTATTAAATAAAAAATTAATCAAAGACTTTATAAATTAATAATTTTATCTATTTCTAAAAAATTCTAAAATCTTGAGTTTGAATCTATATAAGCATAAATCTTGATGAGTCCTTTTTTTTTTCTTAAGATAATTTTATCATGAATGACATACGATGAAAGCTTTAATCTTAGAGAAATTAGCAAGGATGTTAAAAAAAACAAACTCGATATCTACATAGATGATAACGTTAGAAACTGATGACATTCGTCAATTAAGTAAAAGTAAACATGGATAAAAGATTTTTGTTGACAAATAAAGAAAAAGTTTTTTTGTTTTTATTGAATCTATTTAAATTAAGAAAGAAAACAAAAAAAATAATATCTTTTATTTGTTTTTTTTGGTTGTTAGCGTCGTGAAGAAGATATTCATCGTCTTGGAACATTAGTTCACGAATTACAATCAAGTAATGATCGTAATTGGCAAATAGCTCGAACACGATTTGATAATCTATTTATTTTATGGCAAAATTTATCTGATAAAATAATTCGACGTCATACACTTGCTCAATCTTATGTAGATTTTCAGAATCACGCTGAACAAGTATATTTAATTTTCTACATTGAAAAATTTATAAATCAAAATTTTCTTTTTATTTAAGTTATCCAATGGTTTAGCTAGTATTGATGATGTGATACGGTATCGTGATAATATTGATCTATTACCTGAATCAGCAGTAAAACATATTGAAGAAACTTGGTCAAATTTACGAAATAATTATCATGAAATAATTGAAAATAGTAAACATATTCGTCATGCTTTAGAAACGGTATGTTAAATGAATTTATTTTTATTTTTTTATTATTGAATTTTATTATATTATAGGAATCTGAACAACTTAGTTTACAATTAAATGATACTTATCGTACAATATTTAATCAATGTGAACAAATAACTCGTCGTTTTGAACAAATATCTTTAAGTTTTGATTCATGGATTCGAAAATTAGAAAATTTAAGAGATTTTAAAAATCAATGGCAACAATTTATTGAAAGTGCAAGACAAGTAAGAAAAATTAAAATAGAATCTATACATAGTTGAATATATTTTGTATTCTGTCTCTAATAATATTCTTTAGACAATTGATAAAGTTTATCGATTTGAATTAAATATTGTTCCAACACAAATTTCAATAAGTGATAATGTTGAAAAATATCAACGTTTCCTTAGTGATTTTGCAAATCGTGTTCAAGTAAAAAAAAAGAAAAAAAAATTTAGAATTTATTTATTTTTTTTTATTGTGTTTTTGTTTTTTTCAAAGGAAACAACACGTGAAGTTGAAGATCGTTTAAGTACAGCTGAACAATTAGGTATGCGTGGTGAAACAAGTGGACAAAAAGAACAAATTGTTAATGAACTTGTTAAAGCTCATCAACAATATTTAACACGTATTAATCAAACACGTAGTTTTCTACATACAATGATAAATTATTATAAAAATACATCAAAAATAGAAACACAATTTATTAATAATGAACGAATTATATCATCATTACCAAATGATATTCGTAGTACAGAAGTTTTAGTAAGACAATATGAAGCTGAACGTGAAAAAATTATTCAAACTTATGAACAATGTCGACAAGATGCACAATCAGCTGAAAATAAAGCCAAACAGGTTTGTGATCAAATTTCTTAGTAAGAGATAGACGAAAGTGTCTCGCACTCCAATAAATGTCTAAGCGATGTAGTGGGAGTGTCCATTAGACGTCGAGTTAGAAACGAAAGAAGCGCAGGACAGTGTCCTGTCTATATATCTAATCACAATACCGAAAAATAAAATTGGCAAAAAACCTTTCCTTAATGGTATGGAGAAATAATTCAGAAAGATTCTAATCATAAATAACCATCTATGTAAGGACAAAAAGCATTAGATACGAGTATAAGCACAAATGATTAATCAATTCTACAGGAAGTCTTACAAAAGAGTATGTAATAATTGCTTTAAACGTTGTCCACAATTCTCTAAATATTGTTCTTATTTTGAAGCTTCTGTTTTCGCTATTCGACAATGAGTATAGTTTTCATTTTCTCCTAAACAACATTTGATAAATTTAAAATGTTAATGTCAATATTCAATTACTGCTTACCAGCAAGATCATTCTAAGAATCTATGTCACGAAGTAAATCTTCATTTTTCACATGCCAACATCATCCTTGTTCTGCGCTGTATGTGATAGAATCGCATGTCTGCAAATTAATGCTTGTAGGAAGCGAAATGGGAGACACCGCTCTGTCAAACATATGACCGATTTTACGTTACAACTAATTGTTACTTTTTCGTTCTTTTCTCTATTCTTTGATAAAAGTTAACATAAGTCTCAAGTTGGGAAGGGCTATAGTGGACTAACTGCTTCCTTCTACGTTTCACGTCGTGCGCACGAAAATTTCGAAGCGTTATCAGAAAACTGTCTGTCAAATTTTTAACACGTTCTACTTTGAAAAACTATCGAGCATTGGATAGACAATATGATATTTTTAATTAATTTGTATGACAAAAAAATATTTTCATTTATGTAATCGAGTCTTTAAAAGAGATACTATAATGATTCGACAATTGGCTATCACTAGTCTACGTAAGAACGAAATTATTTGCTTACTGTTTGACTATGCAAATGTACTATTCATAGAGAAAGATTACAAAGACAAAATTTTCTCAGTCTGATACTCACAGTTAAAATATAAAGTAAAATAACGGGTGGCGCAAAAGTTTTGCATTAATTTTGTTTTTGATATAACTCTGGAACGCAATGCCGTAGAGATTTCATTTTTTTTTGTTAGAAAGAGCAAAGTGTCTAGTGCAAAAATATATAAAAGAATTTGATTGGAAATGTTTTTCTAAGACAACAGCAATCTTAGAACAGAAGGCGCCAGAAAACTCTTCCGCAACATTTTTGAACTTAGAAAAAAGTTCCTATAATTAGACAGATTCTCTTTGTTATTGGTCTAATCCAGATTTTATAATGTAAGGATAGAGTACTATTGCTTTACAGAAAAAGAAATTTTCTACATGTTTTATAACGGAAGAAATGAAGGCTTTTATGATACCGTCTGAGTCACCGATTTTTCATCACTGTTGATAGCAGTCGAAAAAATAAACTCTATTTCGCAAGAGAGGTTGTCAGAAGCTATATATTTTATACGAAAAAGAGAGCTTATTGAGTCCTCTACCAAATGATATTATTTGGAATAGGACGCAACTTCTCTGTGAGATATTCAGACAAGAACTTGTTTTCACGCTGCAAAACCAAATTCGTACAATTAATTTTTTTAAATTAAATAGTCTTTTATTCATTCTCGTGTATGTTATATCAATTATTTTAATACCAAATGGAAGCTTTCGTTGTACTGAACAACTGTATTTATATGGTGCTCAAAAGCTTCGAAAGTGGATAACGAAAAAGCTCAAACAAATATTTTTGGATAAAAAAAATTTGACAAAAGTTGCGGAAGAGTTTTTCCAAACCTTGTGTTCTAAAATTATTGTGGCCTTCAAAAAACATTTCCAATGAAACTCTTTTATATATTTTTGTACAAGACACTTTGCTCTTTCTAGCAAAAAAACAATCAAGTCTCTACGACATTCCATCACAAAGTTATATCAAAAACAAAATTAATGCAAAACTTTTGCCCCACCCGTTAGATTCGATAATAGAGAATATTTATCTCGTTCATTCAAGATTTTACCAAGAGGAAAACTACAGGTTTCGAATCTCCGACACTTTTAGGTACTGAAGACTATAAAGGAGCATTCCTTATTGTCGCATTTCTTTTCACTTGAGACTGTGACCATTCGAATGGTTATAAATGATTAGTAAAAGTATTTCTTAATATGGCTTTACACTATTCTCTTGTTAAGACTATGCGAGTTTTACTTGGTTTTCGACTTATGGGTGTGAAAATCGCTGAGAAATCTCTATGATCGAATTTAGAACGAAAATGTCATCGACATACAGGCCTTCTAGTCATTAGAAACACCTCAAAGCTTGAATGAAAACAAACATATCCTTGATACGATATCCATATTTAAAAGAAATCTTGGCTCTGGGTTGCATTTCAAAAAATGTGACGTTTCTATGACAAACTCATATTTCAAAATAGATACGTTTGTGCTCGTCCAAACTTTGGCATGTTTCTAGCGACTGTAAGATGTATTTGTGGAGACAATTTCAACTCGATATTTCACCATCCAGGTCCTCAGTCATTCTGTACTAATATGATGAAAGTCAAACAAAATGCACATAATTCAAAAATCGAAGACCGAAATATTAAACCAAAACAGATACTTTTAGTACTCATCATAACGAATCGAATTATTAGAGTTTCAGGCGAAAAGTGATTGAACAGTTGGAATTGTTCAAGCGTTAGTAGTAGTCCTCTCATATATATTAGACATTAGAATACAAATAAAACAATGGTGTTTTTTTTTCACAAAACTTAATTAAAAGTTTTTATGGTAGAGAAACCTGAATTTTTAATCAATTTTTTTGATCAACAGAAGTATGTTTTTACAATTTATGCACATTTTATAGCATTCATCTATTTTCTTAAACTAGATCTTCTCTAATTCACAAATGAAACTAATCAGATCACGAGAAAAAATATCGAATTGAACTATTATTTCTCTTATTTCTAATTATCACCTCAATACATGTCTTCATTTCAAATATCTATGACTACCTTTAGCATTTTCAAGCCTAATTTGTTATTTTAATAATACGATTCTCCTTATTGAATTTTCTAGTTTCTTTCTTTATTGAAACAATACTAAATTATAAATGAAATTTTCTTGTAATCGATTATGTCACAATGTTGAATCAGTTGTATCTACTAAGTATCATTTTTCATCAGAAATGTGTCAATCATAAAGCTCATCTTTAAAATGTTCTCTTACAATTAATAAGAATATTCTTGTAAAAAAACAATTGTTTAAAAATTTCTTTCAGTGTGGAGTACATTCATTTATTGATGAAATTTATACAAAACAAAATGAAATCGAATCAAAATATTCTCACTGGCAACAACAAAATGAAGAAAATCGATCAAAATTAAAACAACGTGTTGAATGGTGTCAATTTCTAGATGATAAATACAAAGTTTGTATTACAAACAAACAAAAAACTGCAATTCAATATATATATATATTTTTTTTCTTTTCTATTTTAAAGATTGTTTATGAAATTGATTCATTACAACAGGAAATTGATAAAAGAAAACGAACTATTCCTCAAACATATAAAGAAGCTCTTAATCGTACTGAAACAATTCATGAAATCAATCGTCTTTATGATGTTTGTTTTAAAGTTTTTCTTCGAATAAATATTCTTATATTTCATTTATTTAGAGTTGTGAACGAGCTGTTCGAAGATTTCGTACAACAGCAGAAATAATGATTGAACAAAAACATCCCGAACATGAACAAGTTGAACATGAAATAAAAGATATTGAAAACAAATTATCAACTATCTATATATCCATTGGAAATTATCGACAACATGTTGATAAAACAACTACTTATTATAAACTTATTGATGAGGTTTAATTAAATATTTTCTTTTTTTAATTTCATTTATTTTTATTCATAATTTTTTTTTGTCTTTAGATTGAACGTTGGCATCAAGAATCAAGTCAATTATTAATTCATATTGGTACAGAAATAATGCATTGTCAAACAGAATATGATGCAAAACAACTTCTTGATCAAGTTTCTATAGCTATTGATCAAGGAAAAGAATATGAACAAGAAAAAATGAAATATATTAGTACATTAGCAGTCGATATTTTTGGTTTGTTTATTATATAAAGCAAAAATTTTAAAAGCAAAAATTTTATTTTTTTTTCTTTTCAGGTTCTGATGAAGGTCAACATCGAATAAAATATGTTACAGCACGAAATATTGAATTAATAAATGCATTTATTAAAGTTCATCAAGATATATCAGTAGTTCAACGTAATTTTGAACATCGACAAGATTATATTAAAGAAAGTATTTCAATTAATAAACAACTTCCAGTTTTTGTTAAACCAATGAAAGATACAACAATTAATGAAGGAACACGGTAAAGAATTTCATTAGTTAAACTTTTATTTTATTTTATTTTTTCAACAAAAAATAACTTTTTAAGGTTTACATTTGAATGTATTATTGATGGAAATGAACCGATTAATGTAACTTGGCTTAAAGATCAAATAATTATTTCATCATTAACACATGATATACAATATGAACGTGGTTTAGCTACTTTAACACTTGTTGATGTACAAAAAGAAGATTCAGCATATTATACTTGTAGAGCAAGTAATAATTCAGGAACTGTAGAAAGTTCAGCTTATCTTATTGTTAAAGGTAAATAAAAAAGAATCTTTAAAGTTTTATGATTTTCTTTTTTGAAGATCTATCTTGAAAGAATTCGAATATTTCGCTGATAAGTTTTAAATTTACTATTTGATAAATATTGTTCGAAAGATAAGATAGCCCTTAACTAATTGGCTGATAAAAAATTCAATAATCTTTAGTTTATGTTCACTAATCGAACTGAGTTTGTTTTTTTTTATAAATATTGTGTAGAACTAGCATTACTGATCTAAATGAAAAAGGATACTATTAGCTAAAAGTATCTCACGACGGAATGTTCCTAAATATCCAATCGCTTGAGACTATCGCCATTCGATCGGTTATGATAAGTAGAAAAATATTGTTTGTTTCGGTTTGATTTTTGTCTTATAAACATAGAATCGTTGAGAACTTGAGTAACTGAACTTTCAGCTCAAAATTTGACTAGCTAGACTCTCAGCAATCTATACTTACTGATTATGATCAACCGAATGGCAACAGTTTCAAGTTAAAAGTAATTGGAAAGTTGAGAACGTTCTTTCGTCCGCAATTCTTAGAATTAAATATTTTGAAATTCTAGCGTGTATCTTACCTTAGAAAAGTAAGTTAGTGAAACCACTTCGATTTTCAGAAGTTTTGCGAGGCATCAATGATTCAGGAAGTCCATTGGAAGACTTGCTAAAGTTGACTGAACTTTGAGCGAAGATATAAGCATTTTTATGGCAATTAGTAAATAAAAAATACAATAAAATACTGAAGTTTCAGTGGAAAAAAACAATAATTTTTCAAGATTGGAGTTTGTGCTACCAGTTCCTACTGGTTTCAATTGTTTCAGTTGAAAAGGAGTTATGATTATAAGACAATGCTTCTCACTAGCAGTCCTATTATTCAAGAAACGAGTAAGTTTACAAGCTGCTCAAACTATCATTATAATTAAAATATATTCACAGTTTGTTGATTCTTACATGAAACTTGATATACTATCAAAGTTTAAATTGCTACATTGAAAAATTACATAATAATAGATACACCAAGTCATAAACTTCTTCCTTTCTCACATTATAGAAGTTCATATGAGACAATCTGTTTTTCATCATAACTTCTCTTCAACTCAAATAATTCAAACCGAACGAATCGTACTGACCTACACATCTAAAGTAGTATTTATGCTAATAATGTGATATGTTTAGCCTTACGAACAGCTGAAATCATAGAATAAGATATTTTTAACCAATAGAATATTTCTTCGTTTAGGTCATTGGTACTAGTTTTACACAATATCTATTTTCACTGTTTTCTGATGTATAAAACCTTTAACGAATCTCCTATCATCGAGGAAAAAGAATTAACACAATTGCTTGAAATAGATTGGACATATTGAATTTCCTTATGCCATTCTTTATATAGAGCAATCGTTTGAGAACTTCTTTGTTTTCTTTTTTTGTTTTTTTGCGTTGTTAAATATAATATTGTTATATGAATGCATTTACTTAAGTTTGTATATTGATAGAAATGTTTTTTTAAACTTGATGAAAACAACGTAATCATCTATCGATAAAGCAATTTGTCATAAGACGTAATCGAAATGAAAATTATTGCTACACTGTTGAATTCTCAATTATCAACTAGGGCATAAATACGCACGTCAGATTATTTTGTATTCTACGAGATAGCTATTTCGTAAATGTTTTCTAAGACAACAATTCTATGGATCTAAATATAACTTTTGATAGAATAGCATTCAAAGAAAGGTTTCACGAAGAATGTAGGAGATATATAGATAAAAAAAAAACAAAGTTAACGCTTGTCTTCTTATATCATATGACAGTAGAATCAGACAGATATTAACATTGACGAATAGTGAATGACATAAATCTTTGCTGTTGCATTTGGCCTTAGTATTACTTTTTTTTTTTTGTATTATAAGTAATATTACAGTACGTAATATTTGCCAATGTCTCGAACTTATGTGTCAGTTGTAATATTGAAAAATCTACACAAAACTTTGCATAGAATATTCAAGAATAGATGTATCATTTGAACTAGAATACAAAAATAATAAATTTAAATTTTATTTCGATCAAAATGTTTTTTTGTAAAATATTAATAATTTTATTTTTATTTATTATTACTTTCTAGTTGGAACATCATTGATTAATGTTGATACTAAATATCAACATTATCATGCTCCAACATTTATTGAACCATTACGTTCACAAGATGCTTCTATTGATTCAACAGTTGTTTTTGAATGTATTGTTTATGGTGAACCAACTCCACATGTTATATGGGAACATGATGGAATTGAAATATGTAAAGGTTATTCTTTATCAGATTTAACATCAAAACATCAATTATATCGTTTAATACTTCAACATGTTAAATTAAGTGATTGTGGAGAATATGCATGTAAAGCAACAAATCTTAGTGGTGAAGCAACATCAGTAGCTGATCTTCATATTTATTCTAATCAACAGCAACAACAATATGGTAAATAAGAAGGATAGACATACGCAATGATATTTCAGGAAGCAAAAAAAGAAATAGAAAGAAAAAAAAAGAAGAAGATAGTAGATATGCAATCGTCGCCTTTATCCGGAAGTTGATGATATTGGTAACGCTTACGCGTTTTTTTTTTTTTTTGTACATACAAATCCGGACGGTCGAGAAAGACAACAGTGGCAGTCTGTCGTATTGTCTTTCTTGTTGTCTATGACGGATAAGCGACTTATTCGTGTGGAAGATTAATGGAATTCTCAAGTGTTAGGGCTTTTGCTTTCCTAAATATCAAAGAAAAGAAAAACCACAAAAACTATCGAAGTTTTTTTTTTTGTTTTAACGACATAAATAAACAAAAACAAACAAACAAACAAAAAATAACAACAGTCTCTAGATAATTTTGTTTTTTTTTAGACATTATGATGTCATCGCAATACGAGCCATATCTTACTGAACCATTAAAAGCATCATATCTTATTCGTGAAGGACAACCTGTTAAACTTTCATGTCGTTTTAATGCTAATCCAGCAGGTGATGTTCAATGGTTAAAAGATGGAAAACCAATTGATTTTGCTGCTCTTGGTATTTCACGAGATTTTAAGGTTTGTTTTAACTATTTCATTCAGGAAAGATTCATATTCTTTATTTTTAAATATAACAATAGGTTGTCAAAGAAGTTGATTATACAGCTTTATTAATCAAAGAATCCTTTCCGGAAGATACAGGCTCGTATACAGTCATAATTAGTAATCCATTAGGTGAAGCACGTTCATTTGCACAATTAACTGTTGAAGGATTTTTTTGTCGAACACCGTAAGTTAATAGAAAATTCTGTTTTTTTTTTTCTAATATTTTATCTTATACATCTAGTGAATCGGAAATGTCCGATACACCATGTAAACCAGTTTTCGTTCAACCACTTCGTGATATAACGATAATTGAAGGACAAAAATTAAAACTACATGCTGCAATAAATGCTCATCCTGAACCAGAAGTAAAAACAAAAAAAAAACAAAATCTTCAATTATTTTTTTTTCTTTTAAGATTATTTGGTATTGTAATAGTATTCCATTAAAAAATACACGTGATGTAATATTAACATTTGATGGACAATTATGTACCTTAGTAAAAGATCAATGTGAAAAAGAAAATGATAGTGGATTATATCGAATACAAGCTGTTAATTCAGTTGGACAAGCTGAATCGGTTTGTCAAGTTACCATAGAATCTAAAGATACACTATTATTTCCTGATCGTGTACAACCAATGCGTTCATCACCAATTATTCTTCAATCATTAGAAAATAAAATTGTTCACGAAGGTGAACGTATTATTTTTCAAGTACGTATTAGTGGACAACCTAAACCACAAATTATTTGGTATAAAGATAATCAACCACTAAGAAATACACATGATCATAAAGTATGTTTGACAGAAACAAAAAAGAAAAGAAGAAAAAACAAAATTTTTTTTGTTTATGTATTTTTATTAAATAGATTCGTAATCAAGATGATATATATACACTTGAAATACCTGAATTATTTATGGATGATGCTGGTTCTTATATGGTTAAAGCAATAAATATTGAAGGTGAAGCTAAATGTGAATGTTTATTAAATATTTTGCCTTCAATTAATAATATTCCAATGAATAATGAACAAATAAATATTCAACCAAATGGTTTTCCACCTGAATTTCTACAATTATTTACTGATCGACAAACAGTAATTAATTCAATAATTAAATTTGAAGCACGAATAAATGGTACACAACCATTAAATGTAAAAAAAACAAAGCAATTTCTCTTTCTCTTTTTTTGATTTTGATTTTCTTATTTGTCTAGGTTTATTGGTTATTTAATGGAACACCAATATCTAATATACAACATGATCAACGTTATCAACAACAAAATTTTAATGATACTTATTCATTAACAATCTTTGATGTTCATTATGAAGACGCTGGACGATATACATTAAATGTTGAAAATGCTTGGGGAAAGGCGACATGTACAGCTGAATTATTTGTTCCACCGAGTACAATACCAGGTAAAAGAAATTGTTTTGTTTTTTGGCGGAGGGGACGGGTGGGTGTGTATGCCAAGAAAATAAATTCTGAATCCCAAGACGGTTCATTAAATTTTTTTTCAGATCCGACAGGCTTTAGTACATTATCATGTATCTTTATTGTTTCAAAGAATTTTTCATATTATTTATTTTGTGTTTTTCTTTTATGCGTCTACTTTGAGAATGTTCTTTAATATTCGTTTAATTGTTATAATCTAATTTCTCTTGTTTCATGTCTAAAATTATTCTGTTGACAATGAAAAAAAAAAACAAAGAGGCACCATAAAAATAGTAACACCACATATCGATATATTTTGTTCTTCTTGTTGTGTTGGTCTTAATATCATCAATAAATATCTTTCTCCTCCCACAGCTTTCTCCTAATACGAATAATGTAAGCTATAGTTTTTCTTGCTTTCTTTTATATGATTAAGTAACAAACAGAAAGACAGCAACTCATTTTCTCGCTATCCTGTTTTGTACTATCTTCCTACGTGTTAAGATCTATTCTTGTTTCTGTAAGACTTGAGCAAAGGAATATACACAATTAATGGAAAAAAACTAACAGAATAAGAAAGAACTCGCTCGATGTATATCCATCTGCAAGCCATTTAGTTACCCCACACTCTCTCTCTCTCTCTCTCTTTCTCTTTTTCTCTCGATGTATATATAAAGCATAAAAAAAAAAAACTAGCTGCAAATATAACCGTGTAGAATACACCGTCTCAGAGTAATGATTGATTCTAGAATAAAAAACCAACGATAATATAGACGAGACAATGAAGAAAAATGATCACAGAAAGTGAGAAAACCATTGTTTTGCGATTGATAGAGAAAAAGAAGAAGAAGAGGAAAATCTCTAATAGTATAATACAGTACAGCTCGTTTATATTCCTATGTCTTTGCGAGAAGTGATGATCGACTTGTTTCATCCATATGTGTATATTTATAGTAGAAATTGTTCTATCGAAGGTTTTTCTTTTCCTTGATATGACTTACGTAAGTGAGAACAGTAATACGTCATATAATTAGTGGCGGTGATGGTATTCGAATAGGTGGGCAGAATAAAAATAACCTAGATTGTCATCTGTTGTCTTCTCGTATATTATGTATATATATATTCTCCTTTCTTTTTTTCTCCTTACAGTAATTGTCTAGATAAGACTAAACCTGTTTCTTTCTGAATATGTATATGTGCGGTTTGCCTATGGCTTAATGCGCATTTTTAGCACTATTGATGATGTACTCTCTTGTATGTGGTTGTCGAGGAAAAAAAAGGACGAAGATAATCTGAAGAAAACATAGACATTCGCCTACAAAATCTATCGTCTAGTCTATATCTCTAACAAAGAAAGTGTTTTTTTTTTTCATTCAAACGACATTGAATATTGTCTTATCGTCGTGTGTATAGAGTATATATATATATTCTATATATATATCTATTTATATACATCTCTAGACTAATAAATTTTATACTTGTCTCTGTGTATCTTCATCAGAAGGTACTGAAAAAAATAGCAATATGTTGTCCAATTTACTAGTCGAAATGTCACCTTCACCACCATTACCTCGAAAACGACATATTGAAACTTTTCAACAACAACAACAACAACAGCAACAACAACAACAACAACAAACATCATCAACAAATACACGTTCATATGAACAAGAATATGAACAACGACAACAATCATCATTTATATCATCAAATACAAATAAACGTTATCGTCCATTACGATCTTCACTTGAACGAACACATTCATTAACACGTGAAGATGAATGTCGTCGACGACAATATCCAAAATCAATTGATGTTTTTATTCCCTATGATGTACTTGAAAAAGAACGTAGTCAACATCAACAAGGTGCAAAATCATCAACAATGACACGAAGTTATGAATATGAAATTGAAGAACGACGACGTTCATCATCAGCAAGTGCTAAACAACAACGTAAAATTGATATTGATGAAGAACGTGAATATTTACGTTGTTTACGTGATTTAACGAATGAATATGAAAAAACTAAACGGCAAAGAAAATCATGTGATGATCGAAAGAAAAAAACGACTGTTGATACACAAGAAGAATATGAAAGTATTGAAGAAATTTATCATCAACGTCCTACAACAAGAACAGCAACAACAACCGAAGAAATTATGCAACGATCAACATATCGAATGCCAACAACAACAACAGCAGCAACAACAACAACATCATCATCAATGAATCGTTTAAATCAATTTGAAAAACAATTTATTGATAATTTTTCTGTTCGACCACATCAAGAACAACAATCAACAATGTCATATTCAACACGTCAAGATGGTATACAACGTTTAACAACAGCACAACGTTCATTTTCAGAAGAATTACTTTATAAACGTTTAATACCAACAGCTAAACAATTATATACAACAACACCATCAGCAACAACAAGTGAAGCTGGTTTTGCTACAAGTGAAGATGATTTAACAACAATGGAATATCGTCTTAAACGTAAAGAACGTTTAAAACCTATACGTATTTATTCATCAACAAGTTCAATACCAGGTGAAACAAGTATTAAATATGTTCGTACAGAACGTCAACCTGTTGAACTTCTTGTACCAAAACCACAAATATTAACAACACAAGGTGAACATTCAACAACAGTTGTTAAAGATGTTCGACGTTCAACAGGTAAAATAACAACAAATATACAACAAACACATCAACGAACAACAATTGAAGGCGAACATGAATTACGTGTTATTAAAGAACCTATAACATCAGGTCAAACACGACCAGTTGAATTTACAATACCAAAACCAATTGAAATAGTACCAGCTGAACATTCAACAACATTTGTTGTTGAATCAAAAAAAGGTGGTCGTTATCAAACACTTGATATAAGTAGTGCATTAACACGTGAACATACACTTGAAGGTGAACATGAATTACGTGTTATATCAGAACCTATATCATCTGGTTTACATAATAAACCAGTAGAATTATTATTTCCTAAACCACCTATTCCACCACCACCAAGTCATCATTCATCAACAATTGTTAAACAAACTCGTGCACTACCATCAAGTATTACTATTGATAATATTCAAACAACATTAAAAGGTGAACATGAATTACGTTTAGTTGATAAACCAATTCAATCAGGTGCACTTGATAGTGTAGAATTAATTGTACCAAAAAGTGTAACTGAAACAGCTGAACATACAACAACAATTGTAACAGAAACACAACCACATAGACGTGTTTTAGAAATAACTGGTAGTGGAAAAAAAATGGAAAGTGAACATGAAACAAAATTTTATCGTGATGCTGTTCGTATTGAAGAAGAAATTGAAGTTAAATTACCTAAACAACAAGTTGAACGTCCAGAACATACAACAACAATTGTTAAACATAGTCGAGGTAAAGGACCAATTATTGAAGTTGATACAACACACCGAACAATTGAAGGTGAACATGAAACTAAAATTATTGAAGAATCTATTGAAGCTAGAGCTGATACAATGCAATTATTAGTTGCTAAACCACAAGTATCAGCAGAACATAGTACAACTGTTGTTAAAGAACAACGTGGAAAACCATACATATATGCTATTGATAAGACAAAACCAATACCTGGTAAGAATCGGAATAGAAATATAGAAAGAAAAAAAAACAGACAAATATTTGATTTTTTTTTGTTTTGGTAATTAGGTGAACATGAAACAAAATATTATGGAAAACCAATTGAAGCATTTGGTGAAATGCAAGTTTTATTTCCTAAAAAACAACCTGTTATAGGTCCACTCGAAGGTGAACATATGTCAACATTAGTTAAACAAGTTCATGCAAGAGAAGTTGTTTATGATGATCGTCTTCGTGAAATTCCTGGTGAACATCTATTAACAGTTGTTGAAAGTTCAAGTACAAAAATGGAAAAAGGTGCTGAAAGTGAAGTTGAATTTATTGTACCTAAACCACAAGTAAAACGTATTGAAGAACATTCAACAACTGTTGTAAAGAAACTTTCACATCGTCCAATAAGTTCAAGTGATTATGATGAAGTATTTGCTTCATCAGCTGGTGAAGAAGAAACACTTCGTCGAAAACGTTATCAATATCAAGAAGAAGAGGAAAGTGGTTGGACAAGTGCTGGTGAACATACAACAACATATGTTAAACAAGCACGAGCTAAATTTGAACCAGTTGAACTTGTTGTTGATAAACCAAAAATAATGCCAAGTATATCAAAATTAATAGCTGATATACAAGCACCAACACAAATAACATCAATTAAACCGACAACAATAGTTATACCAGAAGATAGTTCAGTTAAATTAGATATGGAATTAAATAGGCAAAGTTTACAAGAACAATATGATGAAATGGAATTAGTTTTCGAAAAACCACTTATACGTGATAGTTCAACAAAATTAATTGCAAGTATTCAACCTGGTTTAGAATTAAAATCATTTCGACCAACAACAGATATGCAACAACAAATCAAAACAACAGAAGAAAGTAGTTCATCATTAACAATGCATATGCAACAAGAACAAGAAGAAGCATTAGAACTTCGTATACGTAAACCACATATACAAGATAGTTCAAGTGTTCTTATAGCTAATATTCAACCTGAATTAGGTATACAAGGACAATTAAAAGCAAGTCCTTATGTTCCACCACCAATTCAAGAATCAAGTACAGCATTAACAATGGATTTAAATGCTGAACAACCAACAGCACCATTTGAATTAATTATACCACGTATTGGAATTGAATCATCAACAAGTACAGTTCTTGCACAAGTTGCACCAGCTATGGCTGGTATACGTGCTAAAATTGATGCACCACCAACAGAAAAATCATCATCAAAATTTGTTCTTGAACAAAGAAAACGTTTAGATGAAGAAGTTGAATTAGTTATGCCGAAACCAAAACGTATTGAAACAAGTACATCAACAATGATAGCTGATGTTGCAGCTAAACTTGAAACAAAAGAAATACGTGCAAGTGAAGTTAAACCTGAAAGATCAACATCAACATTTTATTTAGATGATACAGTACAAAATGTTATACCACAACCAGTTGAAATACGTATGAGACAACCAATTATAGGTGAAAGTTCAACAACAGTACTTGCTAATGTTAAAGCAACATTAGATACACAACAAATAAAAGTACTTGGAAATCCATATCAAGCAATGGAAGAAAGTTCATCTGCACTTATACTTGATACTGTATCACAACAAATTCAACCATCTGAAGTTGAACTTATACTTCCACGTCCACAAATACAAGATAGTACATCAGTTGTTTTAGCTGATGTTCGTCAAACACTTGATACATCACAAACACATGTTGTTATTCCACCACCTATACAATATCCTGTTAAATCAAGTAGTGAACTTATTTTACAACATGATGATGTTAAAGCAGCACCTGTAGAATTACATTTACATCGACAACCAAGTTCACATACAATTGTGGCTAAATTAGATGATAAACGAACAAAAACTAAAGATATGTATATTTTAAGTACGGGTAGTGCTCAAGATCAATATGGTTATGAAATACGAGATAGTTCATCAACATTATATACAGATTTAAATCGACCAACAGAATATACATACGATATTGATAATCGTCGAAAATCATCAATGTCTGAACAACAACGACAAGAATATAGTTCAAAAATGACAGCTAGAGAACGAATGACTACGACAACTGGTACCAATGTTGGAGTTTCAGAAAACAGTTCAACACTGATTACTGGTAACAAAAAAAAATCATATACATAGTAGTGAACAAAAGTCTTCTCACATCTATCATATCTTAGCTACAATACGTAGTAGAAAATATGAAAATTTGTGTGTATATAATCGATCAAGAACGTAGATCAGAATTATCGACTGGCTTCGATTGCTTAAACACAACAGAAATTATGATGTATATAATTTATTTTTCTTTTGAGTTTTATATTTTCGAAAAGAAAATGTTTCATGGGTTAGCCGGTCTCATGGAATAAAAAACTTCCTGATGATCTTTTGCAATTCGTAGTTCAGTAGCACTTGAATGAATTGAGTTCAAATTTTTAACAAAACTTTGCCTATAGTTAAATACTATTGCCTAGAAATCTCAGAAAAGAACCTTCTTCTAAAAGGACATGACATGCTAATAATCATTTTATTGGTGCCGAGAGCTCAAAGACAAATTGTTTCCGGTAAAAAAAAACTATGAAGTAAAAATAGGCACCATTCATCATAATTATCGTTTCATTTAAGCTATCGCAACAACCTTGTGTCTTTGACCTACATTCTTGCTGAAGTATGTGCATACAAAATTTCAAACTTTCTGCCTGTATGGAAGCTAAGGTCTACTGCGGACAGAAAGATTTTTGTTCAATACTGTATATATACATTTAAAATTATAATTTCTATTTTTTTTTAATTTTATTTTAGAAATTGAACCACGTCAATTAGAACCAGTTGAGTTTATTGTTTCGGGTAGTTTAACTGGAGCTAATAATACATTAGAACAATATTCAGCAAGTGGTACTAGAAGCTTAAGAACAGCAACTAAACAAACAGTACAAACAACAGATAATGTGAAATATAATGAAAGAACAAATATTAGTTCAAGTCAAAATTATCCACCATATTTTATTGTTTCTTTACATGATCAAACAGTTCGAGAAGGAGAATCTGTACTTTTTGAAGTTATTATATCTGGTAAATATTTAAAAATAAAATTTTCTTATTTTGTATTATTTTTATTTGTTCAATATTTTAGCTTTACCATTAGCAGAAATTATATGGGATAAAGATGGTGATGTAATTAGTATTGATTCAGCATTTCGTATTGACTATTATAGTGATGGACGAGCAACACTTTATATACCAGAAACATTTTTGGATGATCAAGGTTATTATACATGTACAGCAAAAAATTCATTTGGAACATGTCGTACAACAGCACGTCTTATTATTAAAGGTAGATTTTAGATATAATTTTTTTTTTGTATTATTAAATTATAATAAATAATTATTTATTTTTAGCAACGCATGAACGAATATCACCAACACGTCGTCAATTAAATACCTCATCGGTATCTTCGACTTTTCAATATGAACGACCAATGGGTTCAGCAAAACAATCATCAGCATCTTATAGAGTTTATTCACAATCAGACCCATCAGTATTATCTTATCAAGTAAGTCCATCGCAAGTTGTAACACAAATTACTGAAGAAACAGAAGTTATACAAATACCTTCACAACAATCGCAACATGACCAACATAGTGAAATAACATATACAGTTCAAGGAAAAAAACCAAAATTTGAACCAGTTTCATTTTTAGTTTCAGCTGCTAAAGAAAATATTCAACCATCAATAATAAGAACAACAAATACTGATAATGATCCAAATCCATTTAAAATTTTTGGTGCTAAATTACGTAGTCGACCAAATCATGGCATTGTTCCATCATATGATGATCAAACTACAACAAATTATACTCAACAAACAAGTTCGTCAGCTCGTTCTCAATATCATCAATCTACATCTTAATAACCCTCTTCTTCCTCTTCGTTCTTTTTTTTTCTACACCAATCTAATTTATTCAAATCTCATCAATAAAATACAATAACATTAAGATGAAATACAAATCAATATATGAGAACAATAAATAAGAGTAAGTTATAGGAGATAATGATGAATACAAATTATAATGTTATTATTTCGAATCATTTAGCTTCCAAAATCTATCAATACATACTGATTCTCAGTAAATTTTCAATACTTTCGAAGTCAAATTCAATAGTATTATCATACGCTATCTATAAAATATAATATGTAGATAATAGTTCAATTGAAATAATTATCATGACATTTATTACGTAGGAATATAATAGGTAAGAATTTTACAAATGAAATTCAATACAAAAAATTAGAATAAACAAATAGAAAAATACAGATAGAAATTCGAGTTTTATTTTGATTAAAACCTACTATTGAATATAAAATTTTTCGATCAAAATTTTATAATAAAATTCCTCGATTTGAATCATATTAAATTTTATGGACTTGTATTAGAATATTATTTCATAAAAAAAAAAAAGGACAAATAGATATTTTTCTCATAAATGAGTCTAGTAAGATCTCACCTTGATTTCAAGAAGTAGTAGAAATAAACTTTCACATTTTTATAATAAAAACAAATACTCTAGAGCGAAAGTCTTGACATAAAACATTCATTCATTTTTCGATCACTTAAAGATAGCCGGTTAGAAGCAGAAGCAATTAGTTACAATCAGGCTTTTTCGCTGTTTTTCAACATACGTTCAGAATTTTCTTTCAAGGTAAGATTGAACAACTATTGTAAGATTATTTTCAAAAGATCCAAAATAATGTTTCTACAGAATTCTATTTTGTTCAATTTTCTATTCCGATTGAATATTCGTTATGTTTCGTATAAAGGACGTGGGTGTAGATTCTAGTCTTTTCATTACCTACACTCATGATCGCATCCATTTTATTTTCTTTCGATATTTTTTTACTTCAGTCTGTCTATGGACCAATTGATACGCATAAGTTTTGAGTAGTATGATATTTTTCTTATAACAATATCTAATTTTGTACAGAATTTAGTGTTCTACAATAATGCTGAATTGAAACGGTTTCAAGACACATGTTAAATACTTTGTCAACATCACTATCTTACTTTGTACAGACAGAGTTTTGAACTTTTTCGTAAAATTTACTGATCATTGTTTAATATAACCCTAGAAGGAAAATCTGAACATATATTCAGAAAGAGGACACATTATCAGAATAAAATTTAGTGTTCGGTAACTATTATATTTGCTCAGTAAATTGATAATTTGCCGCTGTAGCTTGGCATGTGGCCGTATCTAAGAGTGTGAATGTGAGGTGTGTGTGCTATTATAAGGTCGACATCAACATGTTTAACTACAGAGTTTTTTAAATTAATTTCTAAGCTTGTGATAAAGAACATACTGAGCATTAAATACAAGGCATTCTGAAATAGCGAAAAATTCTGATTCTGACTATAATCAGTTGTCTTTTACTAATCAAAAATGAGCGAATATATTGTATCAAGACTTTAATGTTATAGGCTATTCATCATTGAATATTATCAAACACATTAGAATAATTGAATGAATTCATTCAATACATATGTTCTATCTTATCTCGATTATAATCAAATGAGAATTATCTTAATTTTAGAAATTAATATATATTGATCCTTATTCTTCTTAACAAGAACATCGGCCTTTGATTTCTTCACCATTTCTACCAATTTGAAAACTTCTAAATAAACTATTAAGAAAAATCAATGAATGAGTACAGAAAGATTGATTTTGAGATTAATTTCTTCGAATATAAAATACTCAACTCAATTATTAATGTGATAGTTTCGTAGAAGTAATATCATATTACAAGTTTCAAAAAAAAAAGTTCTTCTCAGGAGTTTTTATTTTATTGTTCTCATAAAATTGTTTTGTTTATTTCTTCTTTTGTGTTATGTTTTTTTTTCTTTTTTCTCTACTTTACACTATTGTGTCGCTTTGTGGATTTTTTTCTCTACTGTCAATCAAATATACTTCTCTATTCATTTTTTCTTTCTTCTTCTTTTTTTTTGCATGTTGTTTATCCCTGTTTTTTATTTTATATTTGAAAAAAGAAAATACTTTTTATGGCGACGAATTCTAGGATCAATTAATACGTATAATATTAAGTAGAGTTTTGTTTTTTTTTGTTTTATTTCTCTTGTATACGATTCGTTTCTTCTTTTTTTCTCTTTGTCTGCATGACATAACCTTTGTTCTTTTTTTTTTAAATTTGAATCCCTTTTTTTCTTGGAATTTGTTTTATAATCACATACAAATAAAAACAAGTCTGAACTTTATAATGACTATAGATGTAATTAGATAAAACGAAAAAAAAAAGGAATATGTGTGAGAATCATTTTTTATGCATAATAGGATAAAAATCTTCGACTTTTTTTTCAGACTTTTGGAATACTAGAAGAAGTGAGATGATACATTCGAATTGTTTATATGAAAATTTCTCCTTTAATCAAAATTCTATGTAACAAACGAGATTCTTTGAAATTCGAGACTCTTCTGCAAGTCTCTGCTTTGAATATATAAAAGAAAACAAAATACTTGAATTGTGTCGATTCGTATTTCATTTCCATCAGACATGAAATCGATTCGACTCCAGAAAAGAAATGCGAACCGATCTTATCTTTGATTTCAATCATTTGATTTGATATATTCAACAAAGAAATTGCTTTTAAAATTTTAGAAAAGAAAACGATAGAAAAATTTTATATTATTGAATTCTTTAACCCAAAGGATGTGCTTGTTTCTTTTTATATTCTCTATGCATATCATGAATAGACCTGTACGAGACTTAATTATAAAGGCTTTCTAGAAACACGAGAAAAAATTGTCTCAACTGGAACTAAAGATTAAAGTTAAATATTCTATAGCATTAAGCAGATTATTTTATCAATCATATCAATCAGAACATAATTCAAGAGAGATGACTCAAGTTAGTGTTAGTCATAGAAAAAATAAATAAACAAAGAATTATTGAAGCATGTTCTTTTAGATTTGATACAGATAACTTTTGGAATAATCTTCTTTAGAAAAGAACTAAAAAAACCTTCGTCCGACACATCCTTAATCATGGGTGATATAAAAACTGTGGCAAACCTTGACTTTTAATAGTTAATACAATAAAATCTTTATACACAAAGCTAATCTTTTTTTTGACAATAACAAATCGTATGATTTGGTTGTAATACAAGATTTTGAGAGAATACAACCAATACATTAATTAGTTTCAATCATAAAAAGAATTTAATTTAGATAATTTTTTTATGATTGACTAACAGCATTGCACTCATTTGAATTTCTTTGTAACATAAAGGCAATAGAATGCATTAGCAGAAGTAATATAAATATCCGCATAGTACTAATTAACATGACATTGAGTTAATTGTTTCCTTGAAACACCAACATCTAGAAATAAGAAGTGCGTTTGATGTCTTTATGTTTGTTCTTCGAACGTTTACTTTTCGTCAACGGATGATGCAAATTAAATGAGACAATGTCATATTCTTTTTTCGGATCACTTAGATACACTTTCAGAAAGTCAATCTATAATCATTTGCTAGAGAATTAATTGTTCGCTCTATAAAATCGTAATATTTGTTTTTTCGAATTAAATTTTCTCGTTCGAACAAATTGAAGAATTATGCATTGAATCGGTACGGCTTACGAAAAAATATTTGAACTTTGGAATAGAGCTATCATTTGAATATGTTGCAAATATACAAGTCATTTTATATATTTTATTTTTATGTAAAAGTTCTTTAAGAGCGCGTGAAAAAACTCAAGAGAACAAAACGTCATAGATTTCATTGAGCTTTTCTTCTACTTCATCAACTTTCCTTTATTAGTATCGGACAACGATGCATAACGAGTGCACTATCTGTTCAATGGTGATATAAATGTCACAAGTTGTATGCATAAAAAAGAAGAAAGACAAACAAGAAAAAATTGTACACCACGATTGTGTTGTATCATTTACAAAATGTCGGCGAAATATCAAGGACAAAAAAGAAGCCAAGGACACATTCCTTGTTTCCAATTACGAAATGAAAGAAAGAAAAAAGGATTGAGAAATTGATTTTTTCAAAAGAAAGAAAAGTGGTCGATATCAGAGTGCGGTTCAGGTCATAGGAATTTGAATTATGTCAAACACTGATATATGTTTCAGAATTTTAGAAGAAATTTTCGGATGACAAGGCTTGAAGTAAAAAATAGAAAAACACTGGAAAACTAAATGATATTTACGTGAAACTCGGATACGAACTGAGATGTGAAGCATGACTCTCGGATATGAGAAAAAAGTCGTCGGCGCTATTCCTACGAGATTAAAAGTGAAACACGATGTAACTACTAGTGGTAATCATAGGGAGATTGTTTTCATCGAGCTACTTTGCAGGACATTTCTAAGCCATCGTTTTACTTATCCCTCAAAACTTGAATCAGAAAGTGTTTCATATGCCACAATAAGACATCATTGATGTGCTGCTTTTAAGCGCATATCATCAACGTCTTTCACCATCGATGATGGGGTCTCAAGATAGCTGTCACTTATACATGGGAAGACTTATCACTATGAGCACTCTGTCAAAGCGTGTCAACATGTTTTCGAAAGAACGTGGTCTATTCATCATTCAATTATCTGTTTCATTCATTGTATATGATCAACTGACATTGCAGCTGTAATGAATAAAATCAGCTTATCAAAGATGTCAACGGCTAACTTCTTATCCTGTCTTCATCTTGATTATTTCGAAACTTGAAAAATAGCAAGCCCTAGACAAAAGAAGATGCTGTCATGAAGCAAAAGTCTTTATCTAATAAAAGCAGACATTTTATTGCACTCCGTACTATATACCAAGTGAACTAGCTAACCAAGGTTTATTCATGTTTTATGTCTCCAGAAAGACTGGAGTATAGAGTTCT